TTGAAGCGCGTCCACCATAGACTTTGTATGTAAACCTGCTGCGCCTGATGCTGAAATCACGTTTGGTGTGAACGCAGCATTACAGTTTTAGAGCTGGTGGTCACCTTGTATTGTGTTGTGTTTCAGTCGTACAGCATCATGTAGTTCACCTAAAAAACCCAACACTGACACTAACCCAGTAGTTTTAGGAGTTCAACATCTTCAGTGTGTTGGAGCCGTCACTGAGCCACGAAGGGGCTTACCGTGCCAAATGGCTCCGTGTCCGTCCCACAGGATGGCCAGTGTTTTTCTGGCTCCGTCCCACAGGTTGTTGCAGTACGCCTCCTTCAGCTGATTCTTCCTCTGACAGAACCAAGAATCAAATCACATTTACAAACATTTGTCCACATTTATCCCATCAATATGTCATCACAGATAACTGAAGAGTGTCATCAGCACATTCTAAAACAAACAATAACAATATTAAACAACTATATGCTGATTGTATATAGCACTCACAAATTTGACTCCAGTTTAACAGTTATGTGTAGTTCTTTCTTTATTTTAGCTTTGATTGGGGTTTAACCAGTGTTTGTTGTGCATATTACAATAAAATTCTTGACGTTAGAATTCAGTGTTTATACAGTGAAATGGTGTTTACGTACCTTATAGACATGAAGGAAGAGTATGGAGAGGTAAAGGAGAATAACAATGAGGAATGGCACGATGAAAACAATAATGAGGGGGGTGAAGACCCACAACAGATACTCCAGAAAACTCAGGTAGTCTTCCACCTGCTCAAGGCCAGCCCATTCTTCCCAGGCACGAAACAAACACACCTGTAGACCCAAAAAACAGGTCCTTTAATGAGTCCAAGTATGTGTCCCAGTTAAAGAATGATCTAAACACCTATGTCACATTAGCAGGACTCTCAATGGGTGAAAACCTCACAGGTACAGGCGTAAACCTCACAGGTACAGGCGTAAACCTCACAGACGCAGGCGTAAACCTCACAGACGCAGGCGTAAACCTCACAGACGCAAGCGTAAGCCTCACAGATGCAGGTGTAAACCTCACAGGCGCAGGCGTAAACCTCACAGGCGCAGGCGTAAACCTCACAGGCGCAGGCGTAAACCTCACAGGCGCAGGCGTAAACCTCACNAACCTCACAGGCGCAGGCGTAAACCTCACAGGCGCAGGCGTAAACCTCACAGGCGCAGGCGTAAACCTCACAGGCGCAGGCGTAAACCTCACAGGTGCAGGCGTAAACCTCACAGGTGCAGGCGTAAACCTCACAGGTGCAGGCGTAAACCTCACAGGTACAGGCATAAACCTCACAGGTAGAGGGGTAAACCTCACAGATACAGGCGTAAACCTCACAGATACATGTGTAAACCTCACAGATACAGGCATAAACCCCAACAGATACATGTGTAAACCTGTCAGATACATGTGTAAACCTGTCAGATACATGTGTAAACCTGACAGATACATGTGTAAACCTGTCAGATACATGTGTAAACCTGACAGATACATGTGTAAACCTCACAGACACAGGCATAAACCTGTCAGACACAGATGTAACTCCATCAGATACTGGTGTAAACACCACAGATACAGACACAAACCCATTAGATACTAGTGTAAACCCTTCAAATACAGGCATAAAACCTGCCTGATCCATCTGATTGTTTTAAATCTAATTAAAGAAAGTCCTACCATGAAGGAGACAGTGTCCTGTGATCCCAGTAAACAGGACTGGTTCCCACTGTCTGCCATCCTGCTGGGCTGCAGTCAGATCAAACCTCAGAAAACCGAATCAGACTGCATCTACAGACTTCAGAGGACAACATCAGCCATGGTGAGTCTAAAGACCTCGGAGGACTGGATCAGACTTCATGGAGTGTCTAAAGAAAGCACAAACATGAAGTTTTTTTATTGTTGGTTTTCAGATTCATTTAATGGTTTTGTTTAATTTAAAGTAATAAATTGATCAGATTATCTGAACACACACCATTGTTACAGCACATTCTGGACTATTTAAATTATATTCCAGCCAGTGGTTTTGCTCAGAGAACTGAATCTAAAGAGTACATTTTAAAATGATAAAGAAAGCTCAGTTACACAGTCAGTTATCAGTCAGAATATGTGTTGAGGTCCGTCTGAGCTGCTAATAAACCAAATTTTAGCTCAGTATTTGTCAGATGAACTGAACGAGTCATTTCTGGTTAGGGTTAGTTAGTAGCTGTGTTGTGGCGGCCATCTTGAATGGTCTGACTTCAGAGGTTAATCAGCTGTAAACGTAAATCTGTAATAATTATGAGTTGAACTCAAATCCAACCTGTGGATAATAAGATTTTCAGCTAACAAACAGATACCTGAAGACAAACAAACTATAAACATGATCACCTCTAGTGTCGGCGGTGATAACAACGATCCCCACTAACACTCAGCGGTCAGTCCTGAGATGTATGAGTTATTTTACTAACACTAACAGGTAAATAATGACCGAGCTGCCGGCTGACAGGACCGTGAACATCTCAGGTCACAGTAGAGAGATTAGAAATAAAGAAAACTGAAGGATTACCTTGTAGGTCCACAGTGTTAGAGCAGAAAACAGACGAGCTTCCTGTTCCCGCTGTGATTCAACACAACACAAACATCTGACATCTAACGTCAGCCAGCTGCTCTTTAACCCGGACACATTTCAATGTAACACCAGCTGTGTCACAAAGGTTTTGCGCCCCTGGAAACTGGCAAAGGTAACTAAGGTTCCACTGATAATCGCAGGCGAACAAGCCGTGTTTCACTTTACTTTAATTAAATGAGTGATGTGACTAAACATCTGGAACTGTTCTGGTGTTTCTGACAACTTCAGTTTTTTGGAGCATGAAAACAACTTGTGATAAAAACTTGAACAAATCAACAGAACTAAGGAGCCTCAACTCACTTCACTTTATTCATTTCATTTGAAACACAAATTAACAAAGTACAAAAAACATACAGTCACAATAAAATCAGATAAAACTAAAGGCAGCAGAAGAATAAATCTTATAATATCTGACCCCTTTTATACCCAAAATGTGCTCAAACGAAAAGTAAAATACAACAAAAATCAAAACAACTCAACACACTTAAAAATGAACTAAAAACAAAATTTAAGACACCAACTCAAACAACAATTAGCTTGAATTCACTTATACTTCTCCATATTTCTTCAGAATACTAGTTTTTATCATTCTCTTCAATATATACAAGGTTCTGGCATTTTTAACCTCATCTTCTATGCTGTTCCACAATCTTACTCCCTGGATTAAAGTGGATCGCTCCTTCAGGCTCATACGAGACCAGGGTTTCACAAACATTTCGAATCCTTTAGTTAGTAAATAAGTGAGTAAGTAAGTAAGTTAGTAAGTAAGTAAGTAAAATTTTATTTATATAGCGCCTTTCACAGAAATAAATTCACAAGATGCTGTACATTCATGGAAGGGGGGAAGGGGCAGTTAAGACAGGTCATGCAGCAAACACAGTTGCGCTACCTTAAAAACAGAACAACAGAAAAACTAAAAAAAACACATGAGGGAAGATGAGGAAAAAAGCAAAAACATCATATTATATCCACACTGTGACACACTATGGTGTTTATGAAAAAACCTCTGCATAGGGC